TTTCCTTGGATTTGATCCAAGAGCTTTGAGGGGGAGATCTTTCTTTCATATCAACATCCCAACTTCATTGAGAGGTGTTACTTTATTAGTTTGTCTTCATGTTAATTGTTTGTTGAGTTTTTAATGAGGATTCTGTCTGCACCTTGTATTATCCTCCACTGTTTCTCCAAGAAAATTTCTTCCTCTTAACTAAAAAGTAATAATTAAAAAATTCCCCAGCAAAGAATTTAATGATTAAACTAGCAATTGAGAGCAAGAAAGGGGGTGGTGAGTGGGGGGGTGATTTGCTAAAAATCCCTAATCTTTTAACGAATATAATCTGCCCATATGAATAAAAAAACCTCCATTTTTTGAAGGCATGTTCTTTAATTTTTCAACCCGACGCCTCCTTGCATTGTCATCTTCCCAATCTCTCCTTCTTGAGCAGCTAACTTGTCACTCCTGTCCACTTAGCTCCCATTGCAGTTCTCACAGTGAAAATATTCCATCTTCTAGAGATATTAATCGTAGTGCATCCAAGGCATTGTACCTAATTGCATAAAACATATGTGAACTTTTTAGGATTTATAAAGCTCGTTCAAAGGGCACATTAACAGAATAATCCCGCAACGCCTTTTCCACTTCTCCCAAAAAAAAGAAAAAGGAGTAATATTAGCAACGCAAAATGAAAGACTGATTGATACCGTCTTACTACAGTTGGGCATATAATACTCTTGAACCAGTATTCTTAGGTTTTCTAAGTTCATCCCTTCAGCTTTTCCTCATTCGATGCAGTCTGTACCTAACAACATCATATATCTAAGAATTCAAATTAATTTAGGCCACTTTCACACAAATGGAGAAGCCAGCTAAAACATTGGAAAATAAATAAAAAGTTAAAAAAAAATCAAAATGAAGAAGTTCTCTTGGAGTAACAAAACCTGTGGCATAATCCAGACAACAGTAAGAGTGCGTGTGTAGCTTTATCTTTTCATCCCCTTCTTTTACAGTTGACCAATCAGCAGTGGCAGCTATGGCAAGCACTATACATCTTTGCTCCCTTAGCTTGTCTGCAAACAATTGTCAAAAAGCAATGTTTAATATATGGAAGAAAATAACTAATAAGGAAGGGGCGAATTAAACTATTTCATGCCCCAAGGTTTGGCTTAATCAACAAGTCAGTCTCTGCTTTTGAGAAACATTAAGAACATCCCCTGGTGTTTTTTTAATTTCATAAACAAAATGTCATTTTCCTTTTAAAAATTTTATTTATTAGCAAAGAATTATTTTGATAGTCAAATGGAATATTATATTGTTAAAGAATACCAAACTATACCCTTGAAACTTTAATCCTAGGTAGACAAAACTTAGATGGGGTATTATGAATGAGACAAGAGTCCTTAAACGACATCCTCCTATATCAGCTCCAACTTAATAAATGAAAAAAAGAAAAAAAAAAAGAAACAATTAGTTCCCAAAATTCCACTAACAAAAGCAAAAAGATTACTTCTTTGGTTTTTCCCCCCCTTCATCTCTCTAGGACAACCAAAATAAAAAAGGCAAAAGAATTTCTTGTTTTTTTTTTTCTCTTCCCTTGTTGCTTTTTGAAGAGAAACTTTAGAATCAACTGCCAAGTGAAATTTGGAATTTTATGGATGATCTCAGCCTCTCCAAAGCCAGTAAATCTTGGCGAGTACAACGCTGTGTGTTTGATCACCACAACAGAGGAATGATGGAAGCCTTCCCAGCACAATAGATATGCTCAAGTGGCAGCAAGTGGAAGGTTGAACACCACACTTGGTGAATACTGGTGACAGCGTGCTCCTCATGACACTTGGGTTTTCAATTTTCCCTGGTTGAATGACACATGAAGGCAAAAGTTGGAGAACTGGTGTTTTCCTGGAGATTTGGCACACAAAATAATGGTGGAGGCAGAAGCATTTTGCAATGGGTTGCTTGTTTTCTTTTTATTTTTTATATATACAGTCTGTTAAGTGGAATTTTTTAACAGAAGGACCATCTTTGTTTATGGAATAAAACTAAATGGATAATTTTATGTATTTTCCTCAAATAAGTTTAGAAACAACTTGTTAATTAGTGCACACCCAGGATGATAAACTAATTTCCCCTAAAGGAAATCACATGATTGGAACACTAGTTAAATTTTCAAAGACAAAGATGAAGGCAGCACAAAGAATCCCACATGATAATTGAACCTCATCTACTTGGAGCTCAAAACAACTTGGCTACTAGGAACAAAGGGAAAAAATGCAGGCAAAAATTAGGAAAACACTACAATAGGCAAGCCTCTCAATACAAGGAAAAACTATGCCTAGCAATTAGCAATTCTTAATTTTTTCTGTAAATCACCATGAGTGTGACCAAATTAAGACTTGAGATTATCCAGAAAACAATTGAATGAAAGGAAAACACTTTTATTCCTTTCTGAAGAAAGGGAATCACCTCAAAAAAGTATACCAGATGGTAATAATAGAAATTAGTTGTACAAATTAAAAAAAATAAAAATAAAAATAAAAAATAAAAGAAACCCATAGTCTATAATGGCTAGATCCTTGCAAGTATAGAGCAGGATTTATAAGATTTTATGGTGGCTGGAACCAATTGGTCATATAACAAAACATTTCTTCACTTTGCTGATTCATAAAGTGGTGGAGACTAGGATTCAGTGGCTGAAAATGGATATAAATGAATTCAAAAACATACCAAAAGTAAAAGAAATTCTTGATCAAAAAATTCCCGCGAGTTCTCAATAGTTTCTAAATCACATTTAATATTAAAATGGTTATAATTATAGGTTTTAATAAAAACATCTTCATCAAATGATGCAAAGAGAGCCTAAAAAGTATTACGCAAGAATCAGTTATAACAGCTGGAAGGCAATGAAAGAAACTCAATTCATAGAAAGAGTAAATTAACAGGACTCCAACCTCTTTCCTATGATCCCGTGTGACTAGTTTTTTCTTCCTCAAAAACCTCAGCGCCGGCGAAGTTTGCTTAGGTGCAATTTCAAATATCCCTTGCCAAATCTTCTTCCCTAACCCATTGTCGTCTGCAAGATGTGACCGTCAAATACAACTAATTAATAAATTAAATAGTCGAGAATTTGGAGATGCCCACACTAAGGAGCACATAACACATATCATTTAATTAATCACACATAAACAGCAGGTAGAAAAATAATTTTAAAAACGAATCACATAAACCAAATTCTCAAAAAGCAATCAAAAAAAGAAACTATATTTCAAAAGCTTAAGAGGAATCCAATATTTAAGCTTATCTAGTGCTAACATCAACATAGCCACCTCAATTTTAGGCAAGCAAGCAAAATTAACAAATCATAATCAACTAGTTTTACAAGGACGCAATTCCCTGATAACTTAAGAATCCCAATTCCAAATTTTACTCACAAACAAACATAATTCCTAAACCTATTAAATCCTGGAATTTACTTCAATACTTCTACCTATAAAAGCGAAAAACATTAGCACGTATCTTCCCCCTCCTAAAGCAAATTGCAAAAATAAAATAAATAAAACATAACAAGTTCTAACCTTGTGAGAGCATCAAAGTACCACCACACGCAATGCCTCGATAATCGCTCCTCCCCGTTTTGGGCTTGATTATCCCCTTTGGTCGTTATGTCATCAATAAAAAAGCTCGAGCCGCAAGCTTTCACAAAGCCTGATTTGTAAAATTTTTTTTTTTTTTCCCAATTGTTATTGAAAAAGACAAAGAGTAACAAATCAGATTCAGATTTAGAGAAACTTCAGAGACAGAATATTTACAAGCTATTATTTGTTACCGATTGAAAGGTTCGATTGCTCATGTTCCTTGGCGTCCGATGATGCCCAGCAATTTTCGGTGAAAGAATTTAGGGTTTTCAATGGATAGCCTATCTGAAAATAATAAGAGGAAAATAGAGACAAAGAAATATAATGTTGACCCGCTTGGTTTTAATGCCAAACTGGAGGTAAGAAGGCCAAGGCGAACTGTGTTCTATTATTTAATTGAAACAAACTATGGATATATAAATCTTCGAAAGGCCTGAATGATCTTCTCAAACCTCCTTTTGCCTTGTCTATTGCAGGCGACTTTAAAAGATTACAAACAGTAATCCCCGCAAAACCCTAAACCTGCAGAATTGTAGAGACCGATTCTTGAATTGCTTGCATTGCAAGTGGAAATTGAATAGATGAAGACAAAGAATAAAACAAGCCAAATTGGAGAACTGAAATGCGAATAGCTGCCAGTAGAATTGAAATGAAAAATAAAGAAAAACGATGGGTAATTTAATTTTGGGAGGCACTATTGCCCTCGTCAAAAATAACTTCAGCTTTGTTTATCAACCTTTCAATATATATTAGCCAAGTGTTTAATACTAATATCAAAGAATAAACCCAAAAGTAACAAACAAACAACCAAAAACATTCATTTCAATTATGATGATTTTTGCTCTATCCCTAGGAAAACTATTGAATCCCTCCAAACCAAATCAAACAATGAAAAACCAATAAAAATCAGCGTTTAATTGTAAAATTAGGGAGACGCAAGTGATTTCCTAGGAGCTAAATTGCAAAAAATGATAATATAAAAATTTCCACAACTTATTCAGTTAAAAACCTGCCAAAATTATATAAAAACAGATAAATTAAGGTTAATAATTAATAATTTGGAAGAAATTTACATCAGATTGGTCCTAAAATGATTTCCGTAGAGCTTGGAAATAATTCAAGTTCAGTTTGGGAGATCGATTTTCGACAGAGAGGAGATTAGACTTGAAGATGATTCGTGGACGTGTTTAGAGACGGCACTGATAGGCTTGAGCCTGAGAAGAAAGACTGAGAGTGAGAGTGAGAGAGGCGACAAAGCTTGAGAAGAAAAGAGAGAGAGGATAGAGTTAGGGGTTAAGCCTTTAAGGTATTTTTGGTTTAAAGTTCCGTGACAAGAGAAGCAAAAAGAAAAAGAAAGAAAAAAAGAAATAGAGAGAAAAGCAAATTTACATATTCGCAAGAGAAGTTGAAGCTCTCCTCCAATAGATGCTGCCCTTCCTTCACCTTGGCAATCCACTAATCCAAATCAGTCTCTCCATTATCGTGGGTTCTATTTCTATATTTGGGTTTGAACCGTCCGTGTTTTATCTTTTCCAGCCTATATTGGAAATAAAGAATGACAAACAAACCAAGGAAAGTCAAAAGAAAAATGAAAACTCGAGCGAAGTGAAGGAGACGAGACGAGACGAGAACCAGGGCGTCTTTGGGAGCATTGTTTAAGTATTTGAATAAGTTTAAAACGCACTAATTTTAAGTAATTATATAGTATTCAGAACTTGATAAGAGTCATGTAAAAAAAAAAAAAAAAAAAAAAAAAAAAAAAACTTGAAAGAGTGTTGATGAAACTTATCTTCATTAAGATCTCTCATCACTTGCTGTCTTCACCTTATTCTTCACATTTTTATACTTTTTTGTCATTTTATATTAATCAGTTAATCAAACAGTTATTTTATAGAACACTTTTATTCTAAACTACTATATAAACAGCTAACCGTTAGTGAAACAGCTAACAACTATATAAACAGTTAACAACTACTAGAACAACTAACAACTTTTAGAACAACTAAGATTGCTGAACATGGTCGAACAACAATTTTTGTTGTTTTCACTTTTTACAATTTTTTAAATCTTTTACCTATTTATACTTGTCTCCCTTTTTTTTGGTAATAAAAGAAGGCTGGAAGCCTTAGGCACAGAAACGAGCATACGCTACACCAGTAGCGTCATGCACAATCATAGGAAACAACTCAGCAGGGCAACCCATAAGCTTGTGAGTCCCAAGCGGGAACGACAATGCAAAACAGGCTAACCAATTCGCACACATGTTGGCTTTAGTATCTCGCCCTTATCCCACTTTCGTTATATGTTTCCTAGGATCTCATTGGTTCAGGTGTCTATCAAAGATGTCCCCCCATAAGGTATAATGACATTTATGTCAAGTCCATCACTTCCGAGCGCTTCCCTCAGGTTGATTCCTTCCGAGTCCACCTCTTTTCTTTTGTACAGTCCAGAACGCTTGAGATCGCCCAATAAAGCGCTCATGCCGATATAAGCGATTTGGCTCGGACTCACACTTCAACATCACTCTGCCTTCAAAGCTTCTCATCCATAAACTCTTAGACTTTCACAGTTATTCGTGGGATAATATATGTTTTAACTGCCTCATTGAAGGCTGTTATCTAACTTTTGAATTTCAAAGCAATGGCTTTTCATTTGTTGCGACGATTTAGCTCCCTGTGACGGTTCACATAGCCCTAGAAACCATAAAAGATGTCCTCTATTTCCTAGGGGTTTCTTTTTTGCTATTTATACTTCATTTCTCATAGTTACTTCTCTTCTCCTTGTTACTCAGGTATTTTACCTTATTTTTCCTTGCACTAAATTCTTTGCACTTCTTTTGTCTGTTTTGCCACCATGAGTTCCAGCCGTCATTCTAAGAGTAAAGCTTTGGTGGAGTCCCCCAGCCACGAGGATGAGCCTACCAACCTGGAGGCAGATAACCTTATTTTGGGAGCCATGAATAATGACTCCAATTCTGAAGACGAAATTAACTTAATCATGAGGAGGCTCCAAGAGATTCTATTTTCCCTAAGGGCAGCATCTGTGCCACAGACTAGTGCTGCTCCGCCTAATCCTACCTTAGGAGACAAAACCAGTCTAGAGTAGTCTTCTGAGCCTCAGAGGACTAGGGTAAGGCCCCTTGTCTAGGGGGAAGCTACTACCCATCCTCGCTCAGAGGGATAAACTGTTCACCCTCAAAAAAAGAATGTGCAGGTCAGGGATCTAAGCATGATATTGACTGAGCATGACCTGGAGGGGATTCACGCTCGCGGAGGTGGATTCGAACACTCTAATTGTGTATGCAGAGGACTGTCGAGCTGGGGTGCGCTTTCCCCTTCAAGGGATTATATCTGCTTTTTACAACGAATAGGGGGTGACCGTTGGTTAGATCACTTCGAACAGTCTCCAGATGATACTAAGAGCTAGCATTTTAGTTGATCATTAGGGCTTTCAGTTGAATGTACATTAGCTGAACACTATGTTCAACTTTGTCTGGAGGGGACCCCAAGGACCATCTACACCTTACTGCTCGGCCCAACTATAACTTGTTTCCCCTCAAGAGCTCATCTATTAAAGGGAGATGGAAGGAGAAATTTTTCCTCATTAGTCACCTGAAGGGATTTGGGGTACCCTCTAACTGGAGTCAAGGTTCTCCTGAAAAGAGGGCTCCTCGGGCTTTGGATCAAGTTGAGGCCCGCCAAGTGAAAAACTTAAAGAGTTTTGCCTTCAATCCCCCTCCCCTGGTTCCTCTTTTGGATGCTAACATTCTCCTGGCCCTTATGTCCGCCCATCGAAGAAGAAGAAGGGTTCTAGGGGTGAGTCAGGTTTGGATTTTTTTATTTCCTCTAGTATTGACTTGCTCTTTTAACTTTTTCTTTTCTTGCAGCAATGGCTCCCGAGTTATCTAAGGAGATAAAAGCCCTGTTACAGCAGATCGGCCTCAATTATTGGCCACTCGATCAGGTCAGGATTCGGGAGGGAACTTAGAGGCTCGCGCCAGCCTAAGGCATTCCAAGGTGGCAATCATCGTGCAGCCAAAGAGTGTCCCCCCATCTGAGCTCTCTTTGTCCGACCCTCCCTTAATAAAGGAACCTAAAACGCCTATTGCTCAGGGGTGACGATGAGCTGCACTCCCCCATTATAGAAAGATGGCTCAAACTCTGAACTACTGTGAGGAGGAAGTTCGACAAGGAGGCTTCAGCCAGCAGTGGCCAAGTTACTCAGGTTCTGGCGGCACAGTGTGTTCTCCCTGTAGACTTGGTGCATCACGAGGGTTTGGAAGAAGAGTTTTCCCTTGACCAAATCGACAGTGGGCTTTTACAGGTGCTTCTCTCTTCACCTTCTAGTTTTCCCTCTTGTGAATGTTATTCTTACCTTGTGTTTTTTGATTATTTTCTGTTGGTAAGTGCCTATAGTGATACCCATTGATGGGTAAGGGAATCCCGAGAGTTAGTTCCCACCTTGACAGAGGAACTGAAAGCTGAGAAGGTCAAGGTGGAGAAGCTAGAGGATTCTATCTAGACCCAAACTTTAGAACATAGTCGGTTTGTTGGGGAGCTTGAGGATAAGGTCCATGTTGTTTTTGAGGAGAGGGATGGTCACCTTGATTCTTCCCTCAAGCTCAGCGGTCGAGTGGAGGAGCTACTTAATTGAGATGAGGAGGATGCCGCCACCATTCGGCAGCTCCGAGCAGATTTGGCTCAGGTGGAGGGGGCTGCTGCTGTGGCCACTCGTTCCATTCATGACATGTTGCTGCATCACTCTAACCTTACACTGTCGAGCTTCGAGCTAGATTTCCTGATAAGGATTGGGGTTTCATCAACCAAATAAATGCCATTCAGAATTTGGATGAGGAGGAGGGGATCGAGACAAGTGATCCAGCGGGATAGTTTAGGATGTTCCTGGGAGGGATACTAGAGTCCCTCCCACTACCGAAGCAGATGTGTCAGTCAACCCTAGTAGTATCGGGGATGTAATTGCTTCCATTACTGGTGATAAGTGTTATTTTTATAGTATTTTAATATAATTTTTATTAGGATTTTTTGACATTTTTAATTACTTCAATTATTTTTTATTTAATTTTATTTTTGTTGTTGTTCAAAGCTTCCTTGAATCATATTTCACTTGATCTTGAGGAATTTTGTAGGATTTTAATACAAAAAAGAGCGAAGTGAAGCAAAACTCTCAAAGGCTGGGTGCTGCATCCACCCTAGAAACACAAAGCCTAGCACACCCGTGCCAGGTAAGACAATTTTTCTCGCAGGTCTAGGCTTAGCACGCCATAACCTTGTGGAACAGCATGCCCATGCCACAGATTTGTCTCTGAACGTGATCAACTGAGCACGGCCCGTGCTGCAATCACCTTAGGGACTCAGACTCCAGCATGCTTAGGCCGTGCCCCATAGCAAGCACGTGTTGAAGACCAGATTTTGCCTTGGGCTAAGAACGTCAACTTCAGCCCATACTGCTTGCATGGACTCGCATGAGATGCTTTTTTGACATGCCAATCAAGTTTAAATCCTATTTAGATGCATAGGAGAGTTCTAATTTCGAAGAAATACAAAGCTTAAACAGTCTCCTCTCTCCAAAAGATTTCCTACTCAATAAAGATTCTATTTCCTAAAAGAAGTCGGAGTTTTCCCTAAGAAGTCTATATAAAGGAGGATCCATTCATTGTATATAGCATCTTGGCTTCTATTGTTTTCTCTCTCTCTAAGATTTCAAGTGCTCAAGATTTGTGTCAAGATTTAAGGAAGCCGTCCATGTTATTTGTTGACTATTTGTTGACTAGTTTTTATCTCTAAACTCTTAATCTTGTTTTTACTTTTCATCATTCATATTGATTATGAAATTATTCTCAAGTTTAATTGAATTTTACTTAATTGTTATGTCGAACTAAACTCTCGCACTAGGGATTTGATGTAGCTTAATTTTTTTTCCAATTTATATTATTAGATTTACCTTTCTTTGTTCAAAGTATAATTTATTATTGAACTTAATGTTTCCAGGCAGAGTTTCTGTCCTGGATTGATTTATTTCATTAATCACTATCAGGAGAAGTGTTTTTGATATGAAAAGGTCATAAATTACATGAGAATAATAACTTGATGCGGAAGCTATATGGTTTGACTTATGGGGGTTTTCATAAGTTGACAACCTTAGGTTATGAATTCATAAACAAATAATAAAACTTAATGATTTAATTCGTGTTTTGATTGCGCTATTGAAAGATAGGTAATTAAATTAGGTTAAAATTGCTAACAATACATTGGGAGAGCTTGTTAGTGATTTTAGGGTTATTGCCCCCACCCACTTGAACAAATTATAAAATTGCATGATCAAACAAAATTGATTATCAAACTAATAAAACAAATTGGATAGAATTAAGTGAAATCAAAATCCCTAGTAGTTTTTAATCCTTGATTTCTTTTTATCAAATATACCTTGCTTGATTTCTTTTTATTCTCTTTTATTTGTTTAAAGTTAATTTTTAAAAATAATTTCCCTTTTTACCGTTTAAATAATAGTATG